AATAGCTCCCTCTGCTGTCACCCAGAGGGTGGTTCTTTGCACTGGGCCGGAAGCTGCTGAACTGCATTTGCCCTGGTGAGTTTTTGGGTGAGAGTATGTTTTTTTTGTTTTTTTTTTTTTTTCCCCCTTCAGATTTAAAAAAGGTAGCTCAGCGATTTAAGTGCCTGCCTGGCAAGCTCAAGAGCACAAGGTCCTGAGTTTGATCCCAAGTCCCGCCAAAAAAAAAGGATTTTTGTTTTAGTCCAGATATTAAGAAGGCACAGCACCCCCACTCCCATCCCCTCAAAAGTAGCCGGTTTACCCGAGGGGGAGTCGGTGGCAGCCAAAGGGCCCACTGGTTTACAGGACCCCAGGGCTCATTTACCGTGGGAGCCCAGCAGGAGCCCTGTCCAGCGTGGGAGTCAGGCCGCTGTCCCAGGTGTCCTCGGCCGGACCTTGTCTGCTGGCTCAAGCAGCAGAGTTCTGCTGAGAAAGGGCTGTTGACAGCGGTGTCTGGGCAGCTGTGCCCGCACCCACTGTGCCCTTGTCCTCATCTCCTGGCCTGCGGGTGAGCGAAGTGCTGACTCCTCGTGTGCCCCAGATCCAGGGTCTGTGTTCCTCGTGCAATGTAACTTCTGTCTACAACACTTTTGTAGACAAATGCTCACTTTCTGAGGGTTCAATCTGAGACTGAGTTGTTGGAAAGGAGAGAAGACTGACTAGAAAAACCTTTTCCGGGTTTGGCATTCTTGCCTCCAAAAAAAAGTGCCAAGTGGCAGGAAAGGATGAGAGAAGAGATCAGAGCAAAAGAGGACGTCTTGCGCACGGGCAATGGTAAACAGATGTCTGCTGGGTGCTGTCGCTGCAGCCCGAGAAGGTGAGAGCACCCGTCACAGTGGAGGATCAGGCTGCAAAGGAGGCAGAGGCGAAACAGGCCCGGGGTGCTGCCCTGTGAGTGTGGCGAGGGCGCAGGCCAGCCTGCCCGTGGCTCCTGTCCTCCAGACTTCAAGGCGGCACCCGCAGTGTTTTCTACATTCATGTTTCCGTAAAGCTCCACAGCCCCAGAGTAGGCTGGACGCTGCCTCTTCCCAGTGCTGCTGCCTGAAATAAGACGACAGCTGCCAAACAAGTCAGGGAACACAGGGAAGCCCCAGGGAGTGGAAGCACAGGGAGGCTCAGCGTGTACGCAGCAGGAGCACAGGCCTGGCTGTGAAGTCCCGCGTCCCGTCCGAGAAACAGGAACACTGTGACCGCCGCACATGCTCAACTTAAATCTTACGGTTTTAACAGAAAGATGAGGGACAAGCAACTGACAGACAAGCAGATGATAATTTTCATTACCTAAATGGATCACAACCCACTTAAAATATCTTGGGGTGCCATGACACGAAAGGAAACTCCTGTCTCCTTCGAAGGTCTCAGTGGGACCTCCGGATGGTACGGCAGAGCTGCAACTCCTTTTCCCGGCTGGGTGTCAGACGGCTGTTTGTGTCCCCTGAGACCTGGGAATGAGTTCCAGAGGACAGAGAAGGTTAAGAGCAGGAGAGGCTTCTTGGAGAGTAGGAATAGAACATAGGCGAAGCTCCCGAGAGGCAGGGGCCTCAGTGGGTTGCCCTAGTGATGTATTTTGACAGTTGTATAGGAAGCAGTGTACTTCATCTTATATTCCCTGAGGGAAGGACATGGCCAGTTACTTCATCCTCTAAGAGCCAGCTTTCTCTTGGTGCCAGAGCATTCTCAGTGACTACTTGCTTCTGTGTGTCATAACTCATAAGCTCATACAACTCGTTTTCTGTTGTTACCTGGGGCAGGTTCGTGTTGCGTGCCATCTGCTGCAACTGCTGTCTTTTTGGCTGCAGCTGTGGCCCTCATGTGGCACCAGCATCTGAGGCGGTTGCTGTATAGGAAGCAGTCTGGAAGGGCTCTACAGTGATCCACATGTTGTCCATCCCCATCTGGGCTGAAAGGCCACAGCGTGGCGCGCACAGTGGCTTAATGTGGCAAGACCTTTAGTTTGTGCCATGTGATCTGTTCTACCCTGCCCCCAGACTTAAGTTTTTCTCGGTTTGATGGCCAGTTTTATGAATGTATGCTGAAGAATGATTAGATATCTGAAGAACCCCGGTTGGTTTCAGGATCTTTACCTCTAATTCAGAACTCTATTTGAAGTTCTACATTTATGTACCTTTTGGGTCTGTTGATGTGCGAGGCCCTCGTTCAGAGCTGCATTTGCTTTGTGCTGTGCTGTGACATCTCTTGATTTTACAGAGACTTGCTGACTGCTAGGCTCAGTTGTGTTTCCGCGGTACTTGTACCAAGATACCCGATGCGTTTTAATGACTTTTTTTTTTTTTTTTTTTTTGAACCGGGGATTGAATTCAGGCCCTTGCACTTGCCAGGGAAGCGCTTATTCCACTGAGCCATCTCCCCGGGCCCTTTAATGACTTTTCTATATTAGTTTTTCTTGATTTTACAGAGACTTCCAGAGCTCTAAGTAGAAGGTGCTAGCCTGAGACCTCAGAGCCCAACTGCACAGGCGCGCTTTAGTGTTAGGCAAGTGGGTGATCGCGCTGTGCTGGGGCGCTCAGGAGTCTTCCTAGCCTCGGAGTTGCTGGTGTACCTTTAGTATCAGTGCTCTGTTAAAGAACCTCTTCAGTTCCTTATTTATCCTGCAGGTTATGAAATTTAGGTTATGAAATGCGACTCGGGCTACTTAGCTTTCAGGGAGTTTATTGGAAGAAGGAGATTGGGTGAGGAGCACAAGGACTCCAGTTTGGAGGCAGGCAGGCAGCGGAGCTTGGGAGCGTGAGCAGCTGGAGGCGCCGCCACGGAGGCGACTGCCCTGGCGGTGGTGGGGTCCTGGGCACTTGTGGCCTGCCCCTCCGGGTCTATGGCCGGTGTGGGCATGTCTGGTTGCCGGCTCTGGGTCTTGTGCCCTTGGGCTGGCTGTGAGGGCTCAGGGAGAGGAAGGACCCGCTTCTCTAGCCCCTGAAGAAAGAAGGAGAGCTCTGTGTCCCTGAGGAGATTCCCCAGCACTTGCGGGCGCACTTGGGTGCTGCCTGCTTAGCAAGAACGCAGACGTGTCAGTTACTCACCAGAGGCTTCTCTTCCTTCTTATGACCTGAAGGCCCTGAGTTTGTACGTCAGACCATGGTGAGAGGGAGGGTGGTGGGAAGAGCGTGGGTGTTGGAAACAGGAAGGGCTGGGTTATGGCTCCTGCTCAGATTTAGTAGGTGAGCGACTGTGCAGAATTACCAAGCCTTCCTGACTGGCCGAGTCACAGCTGCCGCCTCTCCTCCTCCCAGGGCTCTGTTCATCCCAAGCACATGCCCTTCCACTGAGCAACACCCCGCTCTGTCCTCGTTTAGGATAAGGAGGGCCGGAACAAGCTGTGCAGGGCCACTGTGGTTTCTGAGTGAGGCAGTGTATGTTAAGCGCTTGTGCTGCCTGCGTATACTTAGTACACGTTTGACGCTAGTAGCTAGTCGAGCGTCGTTTATCATTTATGGCTCCAGTTTACCTTCGATTCCTTGTCTCATTTTGTTCCAAAACTTGCTATAAATCCAGGCTGTTTTGTTCACTGTCCTTAAATGGGCCTTGTGTTTTATGCCTTGTTTCTTCTCTAGTGGTCCCTTTCTTTTTTCTTTGTCCTTCTTTGGTGGGTCTATTCAAATCTTTCTTTTCAGGAGAAATGCTAGTCAGTCTTCTACCAGTTTTCCCTCTGTGGCATAGTGTGGTCCAGTTCTGACTGAACACTGTGAATTAGCAGCAGATGCCCCCCGGTTTAATGACATGGTCCCCAAGTAGTCACCCACCCTGGGTCAGCCACCAATCCAGTCTGGGCCCTGCATACTTCTTGCCAGCTGGTTCCAGCTGGTTCCAACTGACTCCAGTTCAGGGGGTTCCAAGATGCCCTGTCCCCTCCTGTAGGAGAAAGGGTCCCATGTCCTGTCCCTGTGCAGTCAAGTCACATCTCCCTCCTAGCACATCCTGGCTTTGCCCACTGGAGAGCTGCCCACAGGTCAGTGCCAGACTGAAGGTCAGGATTTTGGGATTGGGTAGGGTGGATCAACGTTCCCTTCACGGAGGGTCGGCTGGGCCAGAGCCACTGACAGCGTGATTAGTGTTTTAGTGATCAACACCCATCCCAAACCATCTTATTAGTACTAACTCTGGTGTGAATCAAGGGGTTTATGAGTAAGAGATCAGGGCTGGCCAGATAGCTCAGGGGACTAAAGCGCCTGCTTAGCAGACACGGACTGGGCTCTATCCCCAGGCGTACTATGGCAGCCCCGCTCCCAGGGCAAGCTGAGATAGTGACTGAGACTGGGCATGGTGGTGCGTGCCTGTCATCCCAGCCCTTGGGAGGCTGAACACAGGAGAATTACTATGAGTCCGATATATGTAGTGAGACCCTGTAGCTCCTATAGCCCCTGTACTAAATACAGTTTAAAAAGAAAAAGAAAAAGAGATGATCGGGTTGCCTGGGGAGAGCCTGGGAACCACTCTCTGTCAGGCGCCCAGGACAGAGGGAAGACAGGTTCAATACTAGGTTTTGGAAAACCGGCAGCTCTTAAAAACCTAATTGTTTTAAGAATGGAAGTGTACAGAATGCTAAGGTAACTGGAAGTGTTTAAGATTCTAGTACTTAAGAGGAAAAGCAGATTTATTGATCTCTGTTAGAATTATAGTAGTGTAGATTTATAGCTATTTAATATGACTATATTATACCGTTTGAACTTTTTGTTTATGATTTTATGTTTTCCTTGGTACAAAGGAGAGAGGTTTTTTTTTTTTTTTTTTTTTTGGAGAGAGGATTTTGATTGGGAAGGCTACAGCTGAGGACACTTGGCAGCATTTCATACCTCACACTGCCAGTGTAAACCAGGGACCTTGAGTACAGTTTAGTCGGCTACAGGTTGCCCCAGAGGAGCTGCTCTGCCTCTTACTAGCAGGTTACTTGGGATGGTCTTTGTCTCCGCTGTCTGCACAGAAGAGCTTAGCTGTGTTTTCTCTTACAGATCGATTACACCGGAACGGAGCCTTCCAGCCCCTGCAATAAGTGTTTGTCCCCGAATGTGACACCTTGTGTTTGCACCATTAACTTCACGCTGGAAAAGGCATTTGAGGTCTGTGTTTCCAAGTCAGGTGTGAGAAGAGCCGTGCTTTACAGAGTACTGATGGTGTTCTGTTGTTTTACTTTTTTTTGGTGGGGGGTTAGAAAAGGCAATTTAATTTATTGGGAGTCCATACATTTTTGAGAAAGACTGTTTTAAAAGCTTGGGTGTTACATTTTTGTCTGATAATTAAACATTTACTTGTGTGGTTTGCTTAGTACTTTGTGGAAAATATTTGAGGTGAAATTTTATCCTTTCACTAGAAAGTGTTATAATTACGTAAATCAATGTTGTGTCATTTATGACTCCATTTACTTGTTTAAAGTTACTGCTCACATTGTTTTGCATACTTTCAGTTGTAAAACACTTTACTTCAGAAAATAAATATTAATTCTTCCTTTATTTAATTGAAGTTTTTGGTGATATGTGAAGCATTACAAAGAAGGAAACACTAAAACTTACTGATTATTTTGTATTTTGATATAGTGCATGTGTGCACGCGCTCTCTCTCTCTCACATACACCCCCCCCCACACACACACACAGTGGTCTGCCCCTCCTAGTACTTGAACACAAGCTAAAAATCCTACAGATCAGAGTAGGTGTAGAAAGACCAGCTTGTGCAGTCCTCTGCCTGCAGCTGGAGCAGGGAACAGAATGACTGTAACACACACCGAATTTGTGTGGTCCAGATTCTAATTCAAGGGCAGCGATGGGCTGCCAGTGCCCAAGGTGGCCGCCGCCTGGGGGCTCTGAGTGCTCTTACATCAAGATGCAGGGTGGGCCTGCTGCCTTTCGGAAAACATGTCAACTGATTTGGGAAGAAAGTTGCTTTTGAAGCAGTGAGCCAAGCCGCGGGGTGATCCCAACAGCCATCCACCTCTTCCATTCAGAGCCACCGCCTCTCCCATTCAGAGCACCAACATCAGAGCTTTCCTCTGCAGAAGTGATCAGCCTCAGATTCACTCTTGTAGGTTCTTTGGTTTTTTTTAGAAACTTTGAGTTGCACCAGCTTTTTAAGCAATGACAGTGATCCTAAAGTAGATTATTTTGTCCCAGTATTTACTGAAGCAAGCTCCTTTTTAAAAAAAACCTTCAGTTCACAAATTGAATTTACTGAACTCTGTGTTTTTATTTTGTAGTTGTACTAGGGATCAAACCCAGGGCCTCCACTCTGGACCTGAGTGACAGCACCAGCCTTTAAGCTGTGGGTTATTTTTCTGTTCTTTTCAAGACCTCACTGTGAACTTCCTGTGTAGCCAGGGTGGGTGGCCTTGAATTCTCACCTGTTCTCCTGCCTCAGCGTCTGTGTGCGGGACCGCAGATGAGTGTCACCTTGTCTGGCCCTGTACTGATCCTTAACTGGACCCCCCCCCCCCCCCCATTACGTATTTTGTTTCTGTGGGACAGTTTTGAGATGCTCCTGACTAAACACAGTCTTCTTACAAACAGTTCCTTCATGTAATGGGAACATGCACACGGTGCTTTGACAGTGAGAATCCAGGGCCACCCCTGTCCCCCAGGGCCAGTTCACTAAGCTGCGGCTAAGCAGTAGTTGCTGGGACAGGCTCCAGCTTAGCCTCGTACCTCAGTGTCCCAGTGCTGGGCTTGCAGGTTTGTGCCACGCTCTGTGCATCAAGTTTTAATGATAGCTTGTAGGAAAGTAGGAAATCCAATAAAGCATTTGTTACATAACTGAATTCCTTTTACTTAAGGCAAAGGTACAAAAATAGAGGAAGCAATTAGAAGAAAATGGCTTAATAATTTTGCTACTTCTAAGAATTTTAACTCCTTTGAGATGGTGTCTTAACGTTTAAATGGCTGCACTGTTTGTAAGCTAGCCTTTCTGGCTTAAATTATGTTGAAGTTTGCTCCTCTAAATATATGAAACTATTTCTTCTTGATTTTGAGATAGGATCTCACTAGGTAGTGCAGGCTGGCCTCAAACTCATGGCCGTACTCCTGCCTCAGCCTCCTGAGTGGTGGGATTGTGGGTGGCGGGCGGGCGCCACCACACCTGGCTCTTGGTTATGGTGTAGTGTCTCATTGTTGACATACTTTATTACCAGCTTATTCATTGCAAATAGTAGAGCGTTCTGCTGACAAGTTTTACATCTTTACTCAGTCAGTATTTGCTTGGACCCTAAATGACAGTTGGGCTGTTATCCGTCTGAAGAATTGGTATAAATTGAATAAACAGCAAACTTCATCAGAGAAAATCTTAGGTTGAAAGTAGCTCAGAGTAGGCTAATAGGGTTATTTTTAATGTAAATGGTACTTTTACTTTTTAATCTCATTTATAATTGAACCATCTTTACCTTGTTAAGTACTTATAGAATTCACTTACTGTTTTCATCAATTGTAAACCAGTGGAATTCACAGTACTTAGCA